CTTTGTTGAGACTTGAGTTCTGTGAACTAAGGACAAGTTGAAGTTGGCTGAGATAGACCTAATGAATGAGTGAGGATTTTCAATAAGGGCGAATATCACATTTTGACGGTTATTTTCGCTTACCACTTTTCGCTTTCCTGATCCAGGTAAATCTTTTATACTATCGGTTTCTTCAAACTTTTGAAATACTTTACTTATTGTAGCTCGACTAATTTTCTGGTCTGGATACTTATGGTGAAATAAGTCACATACCTCCTGTTGACTACGGATTTTATCTCCGCATCCAATCATAATTAAAATTTCAATTGTTTTTCGCTTAAACGGGTAACCAATTTTCTAAATAATTTAACAACGAATGAATTGGAACTAAAACGATTCTTGTTATACAAAAAGTACTCTGGCGAATTTTATATGTTTATCAACGTGTTTTTTTTGAGAAAAAAAGCTTTATAGTAAGTAGAAAAAGATTAAGAGTAGGTACGTTTTTTAAAGTACAGAACAGACTGTGATTGTTTGAAATAGTCGTCAGTGCGCCATAAAAGTCATTTTTTTACATGACAAAAAAGTAGGTATATCCAAGCTACAGTCTGGGGGAGTTCCCTACTGTATTCCAAGCAGAAATCTTCGCGATAATGGCGTGTCTGGCAGAGAATGTACGTAGAGGTTATAGACGTAAACTCATATATATATTCTCTGATAGTCAAGCTGCAATTAAAGCTTTAGCCGCACACAAGGTAAGTTCAAAACTGGTGTGGGACTGTTTACAAATGCTGACTGAACTGGCCACCAACAATACAGTCAGACTGTGTTGGGTGCCAGGGCACAAAGGCATTTGTGGAAATGAGAAAGCGGATGAACTTGCGAGGAAGGGATCCGAGACAGTGTTCATTGGCCCGGAGCCCTTCTGTGGCACATCTCCCAGTGTGGTCAGGCGGGCTCTGGGCAAATGGACAGAGACAGAACATAGGAAATACTGGACTTCAAGGCCAGGACATAGCCATTCCAAGGAGCTTATGGAGTATCCTTCGAATGGAAGAGCGAATGAGTTACTGAGCTTGAATAGAATCCGGCTCAGGAGAGTGACAGGACTCATAACGGGACACTGTCACTTTAGGAAACATCTACATAGACTAAAGCTTGTAGACAGTCCGGTCTGCCGAGGATGTGAATCGGCGGATGAAACTTCTCTGCATATCCTGGGCGAGTGCCCGGGATTTGCACGTAGCAGAATGGCGCTCCTTGGGAGACCCTATTTGGAACCCAAGGAATTGAGAGAAGTGTCAGCAAGGAAGCTTTTGGACTTTGTAAAAAGGACAAATCTACTTGCTGAATAGGACTAGTAGTGGGACGCACAATAGGCCTAATTAGGCCGCAGTGCTATGGGACTTTTTAAAGGACCAATCACTAGATGAAGAAGAAGAAGAAGGTATATCCTTATATCGCTGAATTCGTCTATAGAAGGGCTATCTATTTATTCTATAAAATATAAAGCTTCCTATTAAAAAAAAAATGTATGTCGGTAATGTTATAGAAAAGTAACAATTTGCGCTATTCAACATGCGGTGAAGAACCCTTCGTCCTTTTTTTAAATGTTTATACATTATTGTGAAAACAATTACGTAGGTGTATCTAGATTATACGGATAATATCTCATTTCAGTATTGTGTTAAATATTAAATTTTATCTGTTCTTCGCAACGCACAATTGATTTATGCATAATTATTATTAAGCAACCTACAAAATATCTAGATGTATATACTTATTGCCTTATTAGTTCTATCTTATTTTTAATCTTCGTTAAAAACAAAAACAGAAGCCTATATGATAATTTTACGTTACATCTACGTTGCACCCATTTTACAATCTCTTAAAGATCATATCATCAGATCTAATTTTATTTGTTTCCCATCATAAGACATTAATTAATAGGTGCCCCAGGTGTATGTTCAGATGCAAGAAAAACAGTTCTAGATTGAAAAGTAAGGCTCTCACAAAAGATCCTTACGTAGAAGTGTCAGAAAACAACAGGCTGTTATTATAAGACTGTCTTTAAAGATTAGTTAAACAAGTTCCTCATTAAACTGAGTATTCATATGAACCGTAATTAAAATTCTGAATTAGTCATTATTTAATGTGTATGCAAATGTGATAATATGTGTTACTAAATACTACAATGTTACATGATTCATTAAAGAGGGTGTTCTAGTTATGTTTATACAAATTATGAGATTAATGTTTATACAAATTATGAGATCAAAAAAGAAGGAAACCGGCATTATACCTCCTGTGTTACATTTTCGCTTTAATTTCAATTCAAGCAGAAAAACAGTTTCATAAAAATATTTTACTTTAGATTATTAGACCGTTCATTTACTCCAGTTTACTAACAATTTATATTAAAGTAATGAATGTCTAGTTAGATTAAATTGTAATTTTTTTCTTCAAATGCCAATATTTCCAATAAAAAACTATATGTCTATATTTTACCAATACCTACCATTCATGTTTTTTTCTGATAATGATAGTCGCATTTTGTTTTCCTTTCTCATAATATGAAACAGTGACATATTTTGGTTTCTGAAATCGTGCTGACCCTGTTTCTGTTCAATTTGTTTTTAAGCATGCACATAAAAGTCGTGATAAATTAAAATTTCATTTCAACTCGAGGACAAAAAGCGCGGTATGAAATAGAATTTAATAAAATTTATGGAATTCTCTAATTGCAAACTAACAACATTTAACCGAATATGCTATTTTGATTATTAACTTTCGGGGCTATTTACTTGTACGTTTTTCGCTTTTCAATAAAAGCACGCTCTTCAAAAGGCGAATAACTATTTTAATGATGATTTAATAAAGTGAAAGATTTGAGTGAATTGAAATAGAAATTAACTAACGCGATAAATGTCGAAATCCTTTCATTTTTATAATACGATCGATGAAATCAAAACTGTGAAAGTAATTGTACTCCACTTAATTTTGTAATTTATCAAAATTTAGCAAATAATGATTTCACACCAATTATTCATTCATATCATACCAATAGACGCTATGTAGGTAGATCGTGTTCATAGTTTTCTCCCAATTTTAAGTAACTTTTACAGATACGACAGAAAGTTAAATGTAAGTTCTTATTCAAATTATATTGAGGTTATTCGTACTTTTATAAACATTAAAGAAACAAAAAATTATGGTTTCTGTTAAACTGCAATATATTTTCTGCAAGAAGTCGTTATTGTCATCTGCTATGAAGCAACCTTTCTTATTTATAACAATTAACATTGTGAATAATTTAAATTTAATTCAATTATTATCCCCTGTTGTCATTATATTGAATGTTATTTTCCTTTTTACCGTTAAATTTTTAATATAGGAAATGTCGTAGTTTCCGTTGAATGGTAAAACGATTCGATGTAAGAGGATACGTTCTAACGCTTATATTAGAAGAAATTGCCCATACATTAGTAGTTTCTTGAATATCTATATAATTTATAATGAGAGAATGAGATCTACTAAATTAGGTATTTATGGAAATGTTTTAATTGAATTTACTATAGACAATTATTGTCTTTAGAGATAAGGATGTCACATCTTTATGAAATTCTTCTAGCGTTAGATAAATTTTACAATTCAGTTTGTCTGCTTTTGTTTTATTTATGTCTTGGTAAACAGAATTCGATTCAATCCTTCTAGATTATTCAATTAAAATCACGATAAAGATAAAATACACAGAGAGAAGAAGAAGGAGGCAAAATCGAGCACCTGGATAAAACCTTTTTACCCATTAGAAATCGGTATCATTTAAGTATCTCATAATGTCTATAATGCTATAATAATGATTTTTTCTAACTGAATTATAATAAATGTGTATAGTGATGAGAATATTATGCCCTTTGCCGGATTCCTCAATGAACCAAAAGTAAATGAAATTCTGAACAAGTGCGACAATAATTATATACGCTTTGCTCTGATTAACACTGCAGTAGGTACATCGATGAATGCAAAGTTTACAGAATTTTTTATGTATTGGTTTTACTGACATAGATTGATTGTGGTTAGTTCTGTGGTAATTTTTTTAAATTGAAAACTTATTTTAATTGTCTTCTTCTGATGAGCTTGTTTGAACAAAAATTACTGTGAACTCACTGACCAACAAACAACTTTGTTAGAAGATTCTAAACTAATATTTTTTAAATATAAATATTTATTGTTTTATGGACCTCTCCAAAAACTAATTATTGTTTAATATTAAACAATTTCAATAAATTGCAGCAGGTCAAAATAATATAAAATTATGCACTTTTTTATTGGACATATTTTTCAAAAAATAACTGATTTATTATCCAGTCCTAGTTGCATCGCCGAAAGAAAGCAAGTATATATCTATCGATTCATCTAATCGAGTATAAAAAATACTTTCGGTTTTATTTTCGCAGCACTCGTCACGCTGAATTGAGATCAACGAGAAGTAAGCCGAGAATCCAATAAATAAATGATTAGTTCAGCTCCAGATAGCATAGCTGACAGATTACTATAAACAAGATTCATTATAACTTCCCTCTAACTGTAAGAGATATCCTCGTTAATCTTTACATTTTGGAATAGTTACCTATATCTTTTGATATTCATGTTAACTATGCAAGGGGTTGAACGAACGAAATTGTTACAGAGAAAACACATTTTATTTTCACACTTATCAACCTTTATAAGTATTGTCAGTAATTCGCTAGCTCGAAACAAATTATTGTTATTCAGTAGATTACTTTGAGGCAATTTTTTTGGTCAAAGTGTTTCTGTAAATCGAAGTAGCTAGTACCTACAAGCTTCTTTACATTTAATTAATATTAGCTAAGAATATGTCATTATGGTAGTATTTTTTCTTATTTACCATTATTTCCAAATTTATTCCATGTTAAATATACTTATTTTGTTCCCAATCACTATATTTGGTAACTGATTCAATTTCCTTATATTTATTTCAGACGAACTTAATATTTATTATGACAATATTGTATGGTAGGGCTATAAAACCACCTGGATATGTTCAACCTTCCAAAGCTCCTGATCCCGTAAGTATTTTCTCATTACATAATTTTATTTTATAAAATTATGCTAGAGAATAACAAATTACTCGTGTTTCAATAGGAGATAATATTAATTTTTTAAATATCATAAAGATGTTTCAAAAGAACCTGTAGAATATATAAAAATGTAAACAATTGTCCCAATTTTTAAGAATCTCCTTATCACTGGATATATGACCTTCAAAAGCAAAATCTGAGATTGTCAGAATTTTACGTTTATTTATTGTTATTTTTTGTAGAACCCGCCCAAGTACGAATACGGATATAAAATCTCTGACGAGAAAGGGAGCGGACAAGGAAAGCAGGAACAAAGAGATGGAATATATGCGTTAGGAAGGTAACTTAATTATAATTAATTATCTATAAATTTTATGAATTTTACTCACGAGTTATTGAACGTTGGGTAAATTCAAATTGCACAGGTCTCCAAGAATTAATGAGACATAGAGCAACTGTTAATTGGGAACATGAGAATATACACGAGTATGATTACCTCAAGACTTGAGATTAATGAAGATACTGGGCACTGAAATGAAATTTTTTATTTTGATTTTATACTGTAACCAAGAAGTTTTCGAACTATTCATTTGAAAATTAACAAAGCTACAAATAGAAAAATTGTGGTTATTATTTTAAATTTTTATTGGGTTTTAAATATTGAACTTCTATTCTAATTTGATTTGATTATCGAGACACTACCAGTACAACAGAATCAACAGAACAAAAGCAATAGAAAATTATAATTTTCAAAATAGGAACCTCAAAAAAATTTCTAGAAATAATTGTTTTACTGATATTATAAGTAAAAATTTTGATTGTATCGTCATGTATCTTCCAAAATATTTAACTTTTAGACTAAGGTAAGTTTTCCTAAACTATTTGGAATCTCAAATTCTCAGTTCTTAGTCCAATTAATTCCTGAACACCTGGTTTATAATTTAACATCCTTATTTTGATCTAAATGATTATAATAATTGTAAAACATTTTTCAAGATCCAATAATTTTACATTTTTATTCAAATACAAGTTGTAGTTGCTTTATTCAGGAAACAAAATATGTAATAAGTTCTTAATTTTTTTGGCAATTGCATTACAATTACTTTAGATTTTCAATTTTCACGCAGTATTGAACTTTATGCTTTAAGTATCTTTGACAAAAACAATTTTAGGTATTACGTCCAACAAAAAAATGCTAACCAAGAGGTACAGTACTTTGCTGATGACTGGGGTTACCACCCCGTTGTTGAGTACAGTAGCGTAGGCCCACACAGTAGATCCACGGCAAAATTCGCACTTGGAGCAGAGTCTGTTCAGCAACTGAAAAACAAAGAGGTGAGACAACTTTCCACTCTATTTTTTAAGTCGGCTTTGAAACAAGATCCCTGTACAGGGTGCAGGGGATTAAAATTTTGGCACACCCTGTATATATGTTTTTTATAATAAATGATTAACAAGTTATACAGGTTATACAAGTTATACATATATACAGGGTGCAGGAAATTAAAATTTTGGGACACCTGTATACATTTTCTTGTAATAAATGATTAACAAGTTCCTTATACAAGGAGCAGGGTATTAAAATTTTGGGACATCCTGTATATATTTTCTTGTAATAAATGATTAATTAATGACGATTAATTAGAATGAAGATCAGTTTAATTAAAGTTCAAATACTAAATTGACCTTCCAAAAAAAAAACAAAAGAAAATGGGAAATAAAGAAAATCATATTTATATAGGCACCATTTGTAAGACTGTACGTAGTTATTAAATAAAAATAATTTAATAAACAATATCTACTTATGTTACTGATTATAAGTTATTTAAATTTAGCTTAAATCTTTTGATGTTTTAAAATAAATTTGGGGTTTAATATTTACTCTAAAAATAATTTAATTTTTAATATTTATGAATAAAATAAGACAACTGCTGGAGAAATAGAATAAAAGTTTGTCATTGGATTGAAATAAAATAACCTCACAAATAAAGCAAGTGAAAATTTCTGAAGATTTCACCGTAAAAAGTAAACTTATCGAAAGTATTTTTCTAGGACAAATAGTTCTTAAAGAGACATCAGCAATGAAATAGAGCAACTACTGCTATTCAGCGGTAATTGTTTACATTCCAATAGCAAAATAAGGTACTAAACACTGATGGCTAATTAAACATTCCTTTCAACTTGATTTCATTTTCAACTAAGGCCTCTCATGAATATAAAAAGTTCATTTCTTCTAGAAGACACATAACATAACATTCTGTCACATTTTTTCAGTTTCCAACAACTTTATTAATTTTATTTTACTTAAATAACATACAAGCTATAGACATGGCGTCTCTGAATAGGTGTTAGCAATTTTAACAGAAGATATAGTTCAAAATAGGTAAAAAAAAGGCCAGAAATGCATATTAAGAGAGTTACGTCCATCGAAAACACGAATTTTTTACCTTAACTTTTTTATACCAATGACTTCTCAGAAAAATCGGAGAATCTGATATTTCTTAGGATAAAAATCATTACAATTCTTTACAATCATTTTCAGCATATGCATAAAAAATGATAACTATTATTGGTTTAACAGTTCTCTTTAGTAAAGCCAATAAAAAATCACAGTCTAGCTAATGGCACTTAATACTCATTTTCGGGCTTAACAGAAAGGACCCCGCACAAATCTTATGGAAATTGGGTCCCGGTCAAATTCGCTGAATTTTTGATATGTGATAGAGTTCATCATACTGGTCAATTGTCTCAATGGCCACAAAGCTCAAAAATGGATAGTTTGGCCGGTACAGAGCTTTAAAGCTCCGAATATCCTCTACGGATTTATGTATATGCGCAGTGTGTATAGACTTTTGAAATAGCCTATTTCATTTTTTTTAATATCTAGGTTTATATTTTTCAGGTTGCTGAATTCAGATCTGTTGTTAGATTTTCAAAATTGACAGTTGGCAGCCGTCAAATAGCTGTCAATGTGCTATAATAAAGCCGAAAACTTGTTTTTTTATGTTTTATCTTTCTTTTTTTTTAGTTCGATAAGTTCAAAGATGATATCAAATCAATAACAATGACTATCGACAGCTGTCATTTAGCTGTCAACAATTCTTCAAAGTCCGGTAAAAAAGTAAAAAAAATATTTTTTGTTTATAACTTTTATAAGTTTTTTAGATAAGTGAATATAAATATGATATAAAATTATGTAGTCATCAGCTTACAGCTGTCAACAAGCTGTCAACTAACTGTCAAAATGCAATAATAAAGTCAAAAAGTTACTTTTTTTAAAAAGCTTTAAGTTGCTTAGATCACTGAGTTCAAAAGTGATGTCATAAACTTATATCATGTTTGATTTCTTATCCACAAAGTTAAGCACAAAAAATAAGTTACTTGCTCAATTATTGCATTTTGACAGTTAGTTGACAGCTTGTTGACAGCTGTAAGCTGATGAATACATAATTTTATATTATCATATTTATATTCACTTATCTAAAAAACATATAAACAAAAAATAATTTTTTGACTTTATTACCGGACTTTGAAGAATTGTTGACAGCTAAATGACAGCTGCCGATAGTCATTGTTATTGATTTGATATCGTCTTTGAACTTATCGAACTAAAAAAAAAATAAAGATAAAACATAAAAAACAAGTTTTTGGCTTTATTATAGCACATTGACAGTTATTTGACAGCTGCCAACTGTCAATTTTGAAAATCTAATAACAGATCTGAATTCAGCAACCTCAACAATATAGACCTAGATAATAAAAAAAATTAAATAGGCTATTTCATAAGTCTATACACACTGCGCATATACATAAATCCGTGGAGGATATTCGGAGCTTTAAAGCTCTGTACCGGCCAAACTATCCATTTTTGAGCTTTGTGGCCATTGAGACAATTGACCAGTATGATGAACTCTATCACATATCAAAAATTCAGCGAATTTGACCGGGACCCAATTTCCATAAGATTTGTGCGGGGTCCTTTATTTTACCATTTCGACGAGTTTTGCGTAACACTAAAGGTTGTACCACCTATTCAAGGATACTCTCTATATTCTAACAAATTATTTAGAGTATGCAACCATAGTTACAAACTTCAGTAGAGAGTTGCAGTTTCATGAATCGTATAAAAAAGAAGATAAAATTAATTTCCAACAAATATAATATTACAAATGGTTGCTTAATTGTTAACCTTATAAACTCAATGGTTGCATTTAATTAAAATAATAAATCAAGATACTTAATTTTTTTGTTGTTTTAGAATAATCTTCCTCAACTGCAAGGAATTTTCAACGGCAATGAAAGGTTAGATACAATAAGCACTGTGCCTTCCAGTCAAAATAAGGCACAACAAACCATACCGCAACCACAGGACCAAATTTTTACAGTCCAACTCCAACAAGAATCGCATGGACCCCAACAGCAGAAGCAGGAAGAAAATACTAATCCCCTTCCACAGGAGGAATTAGCTGGACCAGCAGATCAACAAGGATTAGGTCAAACTGTCCTTTTAGAAGGCGAATTTCAGCAGCAACCTCTTGAGGGCCGAATATCTGAATCGCAAGTAGACAACGAAGAGCGAACAGTATTGGGTGAAGGACAGTCATCATCACTAGCTCAACATCAAGTTCAAAACTCAAATGAGAATCTCCCACAATATAGTAAACTTGAAGTGGAGGAAGATCAGCAATTCATCGAACAGAATCAGAAGTCGCAACAAATTGGGCAAGAAATATCTCAAAATCAGTTTAACCAAAGTGAGGAAGGTCAAATCCAACAAGTACTTTTAAAACATGAAGAACCAATACAACAATTAATTTTTCCCCAACAACAGCAGACTGTTTATCAGCAGTCTCAGCAGGAAAGCAGTCAGGTTAACAATCACAACGCGATTTCAGAGAAAACTGATATTGACAAGACGTTATATGTACAACTTTTACCTCAACAGGGGAATTTCATTCAACAAGTACAGTTTCTCTCCGGATCAGATATTGTTGGTAACCAAGGAGCATTGAATTATGAACAAAACCAAGATGAATTTCAAGGAGATCAATATGAATCTACAATTTTATTTGAGAACTCGAAAAAGAGTGTCGACCAGCTTATTGCTAATGAACAATATCAAAATGATAACTATGAGAATAAGTTTGGATCTAAAACTACTACTAAAGATGAAGCAGGCACATCTAATAAGTTAATAGAGCATACCAAAAATTTAGTAACTGGACAAGACGTCCTAAATATTAACCAAGCCATCATCGAGGAACATATCAATGCAGAACCAACACCTCAAACTATAAGTGATTATGACTCTTCCCGAATAGTATCAGAAAATACCATTACGAACATTCTAATTAATCATTCAGATTCCTCTTACTCTACTTCTGCAACGGCTCCTATTACTGAGGCTAGTTTACATGAACAACCGATTGTGGTGGCAGATATTGAAGAAAATACCACTCAAACAACAGCAAAAAGCGCTCTTACGCCGCAAGGCAAATATCACTCCTCTATATCTACAACTCCTTTAACTATTTCCAAAGACTTAGATCTCAATTCTTCTCCCACTGTGTTAGTAACACCTAGGCCAGTTAGTAACACAATTTTAGCTCCTATTACTGCAGGAGTTCAGCTGCAGAATATCGACCTTCAAAGTGAAAATGAAAAGAACTTTGGGCAGGAACAGTATGGGGTAGAAGTACAAAAAAGTCTTCCATATTATTTAGGAAAGTTTGAATACCCACAATCAGTTCTTAACGAACAGCAAGTCATCTTTAACAGCACCGTCAACGAAACAAACACCGCTGAATTAAGAGCTACGGAAAACATTGAATTAGGCAAGACACTATTGTTTTTCCCCGGACAAAATGTACCGAAGCATGAAATACAACAACTTCCACAGTTTGCGTATAACCAACAATTTACTGAAGTAAATAATGATATCACTGTACAGCAGCTTCCCTCCACAGAAATTAAGGAAAACTTCATAGAACTAGATCAGCAACCAGCTCAGGGTTATCAACACCACGTTGTGCTCCAGCATACTGGAGCAGCGTCCAACTATGGTAAACCACCCACAGAAATTACTAAAATAATTCACAGACCATATCCTGTGAAAGTTCCGTATGAAGTGCCCTACCCAGTTGTAAAGCAGGTACATGTCCCTTTTACAGTACAAAAAATTATTGAGAAGCCAATACACCTCACAAAATATATTGAGAAGCCAGTGCCTGTACCTCAACCTTATCCAGTGGAAAAAATTGTTGAAAAACCTATTCACGTACCAATCCAAGTGACGAAGTACATAGACAGACCTTACCCAGTAGAGGTGCGGATACCGTATCCACAGCCGTACCCTGTGGAAAAAGTTGTACAGAAGATAGTGAAGCAACCGTATCCCGTTGAAGTAAGAATTCCTGTACCAGTGGAAAAAATCGTTGAAAAGAAGGTTCCTGTCCCACATTACGTTGAAAAACCTGTAGAGAAAATTATAGAGAAGCCAGTTCCACACTACATTGACAGACCTTATCCAGTGGAGGTTAAAGTACCTATACCTCAACCATATGTAGTACATGTGGAGGTCCCCAAAATATATCCACAGATAAACAAAGTATTACAAAAGCCGTACGGAACCGCAGTAGCTTCTCAAGCCTCAAACATACAGGCTTACACAATTCCTTCAACAGTGAACATACCTCAAAATTTACAATTTGGATTTCCTCTGCATATTAATGCTCAGTCGGGCTATTTGAATAAAAAATCCGAGCAACAAGCTCAGCAGTCTCAACAGCAGCAAACTTACATTTACGCAAATCCGTATGCTTACGCTCCACAGATTAATCATTACCTTTCACCCAAACAAGAATTAGCTATAAGCAATGGATACTTACCTATAGCACAAAATAATAACAAATACTTTCCGCCAAAAAAGGACTGTGGACAACAAAACGCTGAGACAAGCTTAAGAAACCTTTATTTCACGATAAAACCTGATAACTACATCGGATTGTTACCTCCAAAGATTAGCAATTCTCAGTTCAATTTTGTAAGGAAATTAAGAACAGCAAGGTCGAACTTTGACGAGAAGAATATCAGGATGGAGTATGGGTTTATGCCACCGCTGATACCTTCCTTAGAAATCGATGAGCAGGGAAATCCTATTGAGAGGAATGAGAAATGAGGATTCACTTGATATTGCCATTTAGATTATGTTAAGTTTATGGAGTATTTAGAGGAACGTCGGTTACCGGTTATGAAGATACCTCAGATATAACTTTGGTACCATTTTAAGAAATCGATTTATTGTATTACTATTAGTTTCTTTTTTAAAATTTGTGTGTACTGTATTTATTTCATTTCTTTAGTTAAATTAATCTTACTTTCAGATTAACTTTTCAGTAATTATGGACGCTATATTATAGTAAAATTAAACTGTTCTGCATAAATGTTTTAGAAACATTATAAATGTGAGAATAGAATAATACGACACGTACCTACATTACATGAAACAGAAACATTATTATAGTTGTTAACATACGCTCTCTACTGATCTATTACTTCTTTAAGTATATTTTAATTGGATTTTCTTGGAGTTTACACTATTTTTATAAACAAGTATAATATCCATAACAATTACTATAATATAGAAAACTATTTTTTATATTAAGAATATTACATCAATGAGACGAAATAATGATATTGAAAAGTAAATCTGGATGTTACTGTATGTATTTATCAATTTTAAATTTATACATATTGTTTTAAATGTGTGATGTATTTAAGTATGTTATTTTTATGGAGTTTACACTATTTTTATAAACAAGTATAATATCCATAACAATTACTGTAATATAGAAAACTAATTTTTATATTAAGAATATTACATCAATGAGACGAAATAATGATATTGAAAAGTAAATCTGGATGTTACTGTATGTATTTATCAATTTTAAATTTATACATATTGTTTTAAATGTGTGATGTATTTAAGTATGTTATTTTTATATTTTTGTACAAGGAATAAAAGTTTTTTTGTGAGTTTCATATACATTTTTCTGCCAATTTGTGTACGATCAAGGTTTTAACAAAACTATAAAAAATATTTCTAGGGAAAAAAACTGTGTATGAATATCTCCCGTATAATTTTTGCAAAAAAGATATATGCAATTTTCAATTTCCCAATTATTTTAAAAAATGAATAGCTACAGATTTCGGGTGCTAACTTCCTTATGAAAAGAAAATGACAATACAAAGCAGATTTTGACAACTGCATTGTTTTGTATGATATTAGCAGTCAAACTTTTTTTGTAGAATTTAGCGGGTTATACACCATATAGTTCTTAATAGTTCTAATGATTTTATGTTTACATAATAAATCTCTGTACTTACAAATAGTAACAATAATTACTCAAAATTGTAGAATTTTGAGTTTTACAAAATTAAGGATATAGTAATAGCTACAATCATTAAAAGTCAGTGGATTGCCATGAAGAAAAACAAATTAAGAATATTTGTACTTTTATTCAGTAACTTGTCAAAGCTAAACATAACACAGCCCCACAAACAGAAATCGAAAAGGCCTTATTCCCGGACTAGGTGACTTTATGTTTTATGATGTCGCTGATTACGATCCCGGTGTCCATATGATCCCATCATGTTAGACATGATGGGGTCATATGATCATATCTTGATCCAGAGATTAAGGTCAAATGAAGGTCAAACACATTTTTTGAGCCCGGATTTTGAAACAGCAGAAAATTTTAAGTCCGTAAAAGACGTACCTACTCTAGATTAACATAGACAGATTTGTTTAATATTGGAATGGCCAACGGAAAGTTTTCTGGAAGCTCTATCAGGTGTTCTGAATTTTTCTAAGAAACAGAAAACATTTAACAAACTATTTATCTGGTTTATGCAACCACTTATGCATTTCATACAACTTAACACATCTGGGTTAAACGTGTAGTTTTACTGGTAGTCGTATAATCAGTACCTATCGGATGTTTCTCATGGAGTTTCTATAAAAATATTGATCTAGAGGAGTAGATAGGTAGTACAATAAAACGAAATTTAAAAAAGTTTAAAACTAAAAACATTTTTTTATTGGAGAGAACACAAAATCTTAATTACAAATTAGCAACGTGTATATTTAGCAGTTACGAGGTATTAAATGTATTCGATTTCTTGAGATGTTAAGTTGAATAGAATATCAGTTTTAAATCAATTATCATGAGAAAGTTTAGCAACAGATGTTTCATACCTTCTTAAATTACAAAGTAGTAAGAACCACATGATGTAGTAGAACGATAATCATTACATAAAGTAAACATAATTGTTATTTTCGTCCAGCCGTAGTATTATTTGCGATAATAATAATGCTATTGTAGTGATGTGTGTAATCTCTTTCACTTTCAGCTTCTGCTAGGTATTGAATTAGTTGCTTTAGTTAGTCATAATTTTATGATTTTCAATCAAATATTATATTATGGTTAAAACTCTTAAATATTATGTACCCCATGATAATAATCTTTAATGTCATTGCTTGGCCGTTTTTTTGCATTTTTAGTTTAATTACTTCTACATCTTCGGAATTTGGTGAACAGAGGTATCTAACTGCTATATTGGAAATAAAAAATAGAAAATTTCAAATGCTCATAAAGAAAATATTCTATATCTGTGTACATTGTTCTTTTCTAAACTAAAATGTTTTCATTTTAAAATGAAAAGGGATGTGAACGTATGAAAAATATATTTTTCGTTGACCTCAACATCACAAGACATTTTGAACAATCTGTCAATGCACCAACAGCATCATCAAAGAACCATCAAGAAAGAAACTTAAAGAAGTATTGTCATTAAACAAATATCATTTACATAAATGTATTGTATTATATGAAGTTAACCCGAAGCGCAGGCACCAGCAATAACCAAAATTGTATCCAGAAGAACAAAGCACTCAATCCATGAAATCTTCAAGTTAATATCTCTGTGAATAATTTTCTTTTAAATAAAATATTTATATTTTAAAATTAAAAAAGAATTGTACCAAATCAAAAATAAAACTGAAGATGAAGATCTATCGGTAGGTATTTAGGTATATTAGCTGTTTATACTGGTCCATATGCTTCCAGCGCATGGCTTGAAGTCAGGGGTTTGTGATATTTCAATTCCAACGCCTTTTACAGTAAGTTGTCCCCAAATTTCAGGTAACTCTAGACTCTCGTCTCGACTGAAATTACTTGGAATTTTATGGGTTTCTATTGTTTTCTCTTTCTTATTAAAATTTTGGTATTTTTATCTATCTACCTCTCCATTGCTATTCCTTAGATCACACTTATGTTCCTTTAACCTTGTACTAATGCGTCTTCCTGTTTTGTCCCATATATATACTTTGCCGCATGTACACAGACTTTATATACCAAAGCTTTGGAGTACATCGCTCTTGCAGCTCGTCTTAGCAAAGTTGGACTTTTCTTGAGGTGTTGTTGACAATGTTGTGTTTCCTTAAAAAACAGGGAAGACAAGCTTTTGCCGGCTTGTTGTTGTCAGATGCCCTACTTGTTCAGTAGTTCTGTTAGTACATTCATTTTCTCTGAGAACGAAAGATGGTGCGTGATCGATGTATTAAGGTGTTGATGACACTTTATGTCCGGACTGAATGGTAGAATTTTTTTTCTGTAAACTTTGTGTCTTAGGGTACCAACCAAAATGGTCTCGACAATACATACAGGAACGGAATGATATCGTTTCAACCATTGATATAGACTAGAAATTGTTCCATTTTGTTATGTTCATTTAAGAGACTTAAGTAATACAATAACAAAATTGTAGTAAGAGCTTGAAGGCTTTGTCCTCCACAGATAAGCAAAAGAAATCGAGAAAGAAACCGAAAAGGGAAGTTTAGAATTACCTGAAATTTGGAAAAGACTCATCTGAACATCATAAGAGATACGAACATAATTTGCCCATTCACCAGTGTTTCTTCAAACCAGATTAAAAATAAACTCTGAAGAATTGACGTCATCGTGCAGGAATGACTTACGTGTGACTGAGAGAACACCTGAATGGAATTGGGCTGTGTGGCGGTGATTTAGAATATGAAGAATTACGCCACGGAAGACGTACTTATTGATTGCGAACAGGTTCATCATAAATCAGAATCGGATCCAGGAAAATGTAGCACTCAATTCATAATACAGTTGAAAATGAGGAACTTTGTCCTATCAAAGCATCCTTCAAGGATTCAAAGACAAATCAGTCAGAGAAACCAAGGTTAGTCAGCTCTTTGCTACAACCATTGTATTGTTGATTTCATCTCTTTCTGCGAAAGGCATACAATTTTCATTGTTTCATCATTTTTCTAATCAAGAAAGTTGTGAACACTTCTAGTGGGATATTTACAAATTAACTCATTTCTTTATCTTATTGTAGTCAATATATCGGACTATTCCTTCCAATACCAAGTATGGAAAAAGGCATTATTTTGCAAAGTCATTATTTTGTTCGATATCTATTTAATGTCACTTTCATCTTCCAAATGTTACAATATTATATAGCTTTCTTCGTCATAAAAATTTTTAGTCATAGTAGGGTGGGTCATTTTTATTTCATAGCCTCAGAACTTATAAGCGATTTAGAAAAGGGGTACTTATAATAGTTATTTATTGTGTAAGTGTTTTAAGTATCATTTCATCCACGCAAGAATGTTTAATAATCTTTTTGAAGAAGCTCAAGAAGCAATTTTCCATTTATTGCCAGCGAAATCCAGGGAACATTACGAAAAAGAAGTGTTCTCCGAATTTAACGAATGAAGGGAAAAATAGAGAGTAATGACAATAAATGAAGGAGACATGCTATCGTATTTTTAAATTTGAAGAAAAATTATGTAATTTCATCTGTGTGGTCGAAATATCCGATGTTGAAGGCTACTATAAAGGTCTACAAAAATATAGATATTGGAAAATATAACAAGCTTACTGCTTGTTTGAAAAGTGAATCGAGAGGATACAAAGCAAAAAAGCTGCAGTATTGGAAAGAGCACATATTGAAGAATTTTTTACTGGGGCTTCCGATAAAGAATATTTAATGATTAAGGTAATAATAATAGTGAACTTTCAATTATATTAGGTTGCAGTAATAATGAGGGTTTCTGGTGCTTATCGATGCTGCGAATTGACAAATTTGAAAGTTAGTTTGTTTCAATACCTGATACCAAGACAGGCATTTCAAGAAAATTTACAATTATAGAAGAAGGATTTTGAGTGAATGCTATTGAAATATGTTGAAAATATATTTCTCTGCGCCCAACACAAGACAGATTCGTTTTAAGATACATCAATCAAAAATGTACTTCTCAGCCTGCTGGAATCAACACATAGGCGAAGATACCCTCAATAGTCCCTTCATTCCTGAATATCGCAAATCCAGAAGCATATATTGGCCATTGTGTGAGGCGTACTTCAACAACTTTATTGGCCAATAAAGGTACTGATCTTACAACCATCAAACGGCATGGAAGAGCTCCTCTGCAGCAGAAAGTTATGTTGAGTCTATATCTAACAAACTTGATATTACAAGGAAAATCCAAGGAAAATATAGTTGTTCCTTACAAGAAGAAATATCCGTAACTTGTGCAAATTCTTCAGAAACTTCGGCAGATGTTACGCGTTCTGAAAATGATGGCAACAATGCTACAAGGGTT